GATTTAAAAAAATCTTGATTTCTAATTTAATTCTGCTATGATCAGAGAACATAAATCATCCCTTGTATTCTGTCGGGAATTGTTCCAGGATACATACATAATAAAAATCCATACATAATAAATTTTCTTATATAAAATGGTATAGTATTTCCATATAATCTGCACACTTTCTCCTATATACTATAAATAATTTCTAGATAACATTTAATATCTAATGCAATGCCAATGCTATTTAATAGTTATTGTATTGTTTATTGTTTAGGGAATGATGATAAGAAAAAAAGACTATGCTTATTCAGCACAGATGCAGTTTTTTGATCCATGGTTGGTTGAATGCTTGGATCTGTATATACAGAGTTCTAACTGTACTTTGTATGACTTCAAACCTTTAATGAGCCTTGTTTTATTGATCAGAATTTGTTATATCTTCTAAATAACTCAAGTACACTTAAAAATAATCTGTATTCTGATGTTATGTGACCACTTAAGTCAAGTTGGTTGATAGCACAGTAGAAGTAATCAACATTATTGATTTTTTTTGTCTACCTTTTCTGTCAATTACTGACAAAATGATATCAAATTCTCCAGCTATAATTGTGAATATACTTACTTGTCTTTTGAGTTCTGTATAATTTGAAGCTATGTTATTATGGGTGTTTATAACATTTATGATTGTAATGTTCTCTTCATGAATTGACTTTGTAGCATTATCTTATGCTTTGGAATCGATTTTGTTTAATATAAATATAACTGTTCCAGCTTTCTTTTTTTTTTTGGTGGTTCTGGGGTTCAAATTTAGGGCCTATACTTATTAATCAGCTCAGTGGCTCTTCTACTTGAGCCATGCCTTCAGCCCTGTTAGAGCTTTTTTTTAGAGAAAGTTAGTATGATATGATATATCTTTTTCAATACTTTTACTTTCAGCTTGTCTATGTTTTTATATTTAAATGTGTTATTATGGACACCATTTAGTTGGTTCTTTATTTTTAAATACAATTTGAAAATCTCTGTCTTTTAATTTGTGCCTTTGGATCATTTATAATTAATGTATTTATTGATATGATTGGGTTTAATCTACCATCTTGATAATTTTTTTTGCATCTGTACTATCTGTTTTTTTGTCCTTTTTTTCTGGGTGGGGGGTCTTTTTGAAGACTGAATGTGGTTATGCTTCTATTTAATATTTATTAACATTTTAAGTGATTACATTCATAATTAGAACACAATAATACCACTCCATCTATTGTATAAGAACATTAACAGAATATTCTATTTCCCTGTCCTGGTCTCATATGCTATTGTCAGACATTACTGTTCTTATAAATCTCCTATTTTTGCTTTAAATAGTTAATTACCTTTTAAAGAGGTTTTTTAAAAATAAGAAATTAATGTATTTATTCACATATTTACTATTCCAGTACTCTATATTCCTTTGTATATATCTAACATGATCATTTTTTTTGCTGGGAGGTTTAAAAATATTTCTTGTGAGGTTGATCTGCAGGTTATGAATTCACTTATCTCTTGTGCATTAGAGTAAGTCTTTATTTCACATTGCTGTTAAAAGGTAACTTTTCTGGATATAGAATTTTAGTTGTTAGTTTCTTTCAATAATTTTAGAGGTGTTGCTCCATTATCTTGTCTGCCATTGTTTCCAGTGAGAAGTCTGTTGTAATTCTTATCTTTGTTGCTTAGTATTTGTTATTAGTTATTTGTTTTTCTCTCTGTATGCTGGACTTTTGCTAAAACCACTTGTTTAAGCAGTTTTATTATAATGTAACTTTGAATGGTTTATTTCATTATTTTTTGTTTGTTTTCAAGATTTGTTGAGTTTCATGGATCCACATCTTTATAGTTTTCTCCAAATTTGAAAAAAATGCCGTTACTACCTGCTCAACATTCTTTTCCTTTCCTCTGTTTCTCTCTTTATCTTCTAAGAATTGAGTTTCTAGGTAGTAAGCTGCTGATGTCACACAACTCAATAACACTTTATTAACTTTTCCTTAATTAGTTTTGCACACTGAGTTTTATTATAGATGTTTATTACTATGTCTTCAAGTTATTTTAAAATTATATATCTAATCTGATGCTATTGCTACTGAGAACATTTTTCTTTTAGGCATTATATTTTTAAAATAAATGACTTTTGATATTAACTTTAGATTTACCAAACCAAAAATGACAGAGAAAAAAAGGATAGAGAATTTCCACACACATTGTACCTAGGTTCTCTTTTTATTCACATCTTGTGATGGTACAATTAGGGGCAATATTATTACATTATGATTAACTAAAGTTCATACTTTATTCCAACTACTTTGGTTTTTACCCACTATTTTTTTCTGCTCCAAATTCATCCTGGCTAATACATTGCATTTAATTTTTTGTGTCTCAGATTTTCCTCAGTTTTAATGACTCTCATAGTTTTGAGGATCACTGGTCAAGTATTTTTCTCCTATGATTTTTAAAATGTCTTTCTCATTATTATGACAGTTCTGTTTTTGGGAAAGATAACATTTTAATTTTCCTATCTAGAAATTCTATTTGTGTCTTTTTTTCTTTCTTCCAGGTCTCTCATTATGATCATGCCTTCTTAAGCCTTGAATACATGAAGCTTATTTATAATTGTTCTTTAAAGTCCTTGTCTACTAATTCTATTATTTGTGTTGTTTATTTTATTTATTTATTTTTGTGTTTCTGGAGTTTGAACTCAGTGCTTGCACTTGCTAGGTAGGAACTTTATTGGCTTTTATCCTAATAATATATCATACTTGTCTTCTTTTCATACCTGGTAATTTTTGTGTATGTGGCAGAAACTATGAGTTTACATCATTATTGAGATTTCTTTGTTGTTAAATTTGAAATATGGGAGTGGGGTTTGTTCTTAAATTTAGCAAAGTTTTTTGGAAATAGTCTGGTCAGTTTTAAATTTTGTTAGGGCTTTAAAGATTTTTTGAGTTTGGGAAATTTGGCCCCTTTATAATACGATACAATTCTAAGGACTCTACTCAATGTTACATGTGTTAGGAAATCTTCTCCACTGCCTGGTGGGAAGATAATGCTATTACCAATACTATTGGAGATCTAGGAATTTTTCTACCTCTTTCTTTTAGTGTTTCTGACCCTGATCTTGCATAGTTTCCTCAGATAGATACCCAGGAAATTACTCACATGCATAAAGGCAATCTTGGAAATGTCCAAAGAGAAGTCTCTAGGGATGTCTCTCTTTTCTTCTCTCTAATGCTGTATCATGTGTTCTATCCTTAGTCTTTCTGACCTCCCAAATTTACCTTTTAAATCAGGGAGAATTATGGGCTTTGTTTAGATTTCTCTCTTCCTGTGTTATAGTCTGAGCTGATTTTTCTTCTCTTAGGAATGACTGTTCTGTGTTGTTTAATGGCCCATCTCTGAAAATATTACTGCATATATATTATACTATTTCTTTGTTGTTTAAGGTGCAATGGTAAACCTAGTACTTGATGTTTCATAATGGCTAGGAGGAGAAGTTTCCTGCTTTGTATGACTAAGAAGGCACTTTGGCCTCATTAAAACCAAATATTCCTTAAGTCAGTTGTCAAGTGACTGAAATTGATTTGTCCCCATATGAAGCTTGAACTCTGAAGACAAATCTCTGTGTTTGGCACCCTAATAGAACACTGAGGGAATTTCACAAATACTATAGGTTGAGTGGCAACAGTCTTTAACAACAGACATTAGTTTTTCACAGTTCTGGGCTGGAACATCCAGGACCAATATGATTAGATTTTGTTCTTGGTAAGGGCCCTCTTCCTGTCTTGTAGATGGTCACTGTCTTCTTCCTGTATCTTCATGTGGAAGAGAAAGGAAGTTCTGGTGTCTTTTTTTTTTTCTTGTAAACTCATGGATTCCATGATGGGAAGTTTTACTCTCATGACCCCATTTAAATTTAATTACCTTCCAAAGGCCTCAGCCACCCCCTAGTATCACCATATTGGGAGTTAGGACTTTATAATATGAACTTTTGCAAGAGGTATAAATATCAAAAGTAAACTTACTTTATTTCACCATGGTAACTCAAATCTTGGTGGTTAAACAATGTTTCCAGCAGGCTCAAGGTTATATATAATCTGTGCTTCCCACATATAGCCCTGACCTAGAAATAAGAAAGGATTTGAAGCTTTAGTAGGATGAAATTAATATTTTAATTTCCTTCCCATAATTGCAACCTATGTAATTTGGACAAATAATTAATGCCCAGGACTGTATTCTACCATTAGGGCATGAATTAGGTCAAATCTAACTAGCTGAATGCATATCAATAGTAAACTTTGATTTAACTGACACAGAGGTATAGTTTATTATTCAGAAGTCATTGGGTGGGCTGGTGGAGTAGCTGAAATGGTAAAGTGTGAGGCTCTGAGTTCAAACTCCAGTGCTACCAAAAAAAGAAAAAAGAAAACAAACAGAAGTCACTAGGCTTTCAAATGCTGATCTTACATTTCTGCCAGCCATGGTACAGGTGGTCAAAGCCTAGGCATTTTCTATACTTCATTATATAGATAAATTGAAGAGCATTTTGTATTATAAACTTTGATTTACAAAACAAATATGTTGTATTCACAGGGTAACTGTTGCTATATACATTTTATATGCAAGAAAACCAAGACTTAGAGAGAGATTAACTATTTCCTTAGTGTTGCATAGCTAATAAATTATAGAACTTAATATAAAAATCAGAGGCTCACTAATAGTTATCGATCAAATGAATGAAGTGTCATTGTGGTTTCCCAAGCACTTAATATGTTCTGAATGTAGCTGATAAACTAATTCAATTCTAAGGATGGTGGGTGGGTGATACTTAGATTCAAATATACTGCACTTTTAAGGAGGTGGTAGCATATGTTGTTTACTTATAATGATGATTAGAAAATAGAATTTGGAATAAAACAGAGCTTATTTTGAACAACAGATATGTTGTCTGTGATATGTGAAGTTACTTAACCTTTCTGTATCTAATAACTTCATTTACTAAATGAGACTAGTACTTTCTACTTTGCAGGATTCTGCAAGGATCACACAATGAAATAAACAGAATGGTGCCTGGATCTTAGTATGCATTTTAATAATATTTTTTAAAGTGAGCAAAAGAAGAAAGGGAGGGGTTTGGGAGAGGAAATGTGGAGAAAAGGAGACAGAAGAAGGGAGAGAGGAAATACAGAGATGAGGGAGTGAGAGATAGACAACAAGGAAAAGGAGAGACAGAGAGAGAGGGAGAAGGAGAGAGGGTTGGAAAAGGAAGGGAGACAGGAAGGAATGATGGAGAAAGAAAAAAGTATCTAGCATTTGGACTAAATAGTATCTACTAAATTATTGTGGTCTGGATATGGAGAGTCCTCCAAAGAGGCTCATGTGCGTTTCACGTTGAAGGGCTTTTAGGAAGTGATTAGATCATGAGGCTGCTGATTTCAACAATGGATTAATTCATTTATGAGTTCATAGCTGAATGGGAAATTATTAGGAGGTGAAGGAAGTAGGTCATTGGAGGTGTGCCCTTGAAGGATATATCTTGTCCCCAGGTTCTTCCTCCTCTTGTCTGTGCTTCCCATCCATCGACAGGTGAACATCTCTTCTCCATTATACCCTCTCCACCATGATTTTCTGCCTCACCACAGACCCATAGTAATGGGACCAGGCCACAATGGACCTCTGAAACCATTAGCCAAAATTGATCCTTAAATTGTTTTTCACAGGTATTTGTCACAGAGATAAAAAACTGTTTTCTTTTTTCTGATACTTGTCATCCAGGGGTCCTTGTTAACCATAGAAAGCTTGCCCTTCTTAGGGTTAGCTAATTCCTGGCAAGAGTAGAATCTCAGCTGAAATTGAGTCTTTTGGATGCAAACCAAATTATTCAAAGCCTAAACACCAATTGGCCCTTCACTGGGTTCTCACAAGGCCACTTTTCCTCTCCCCTAGTCATCCTAGGACCAGGTACCAGCCAACTAGGGATAGCCTATATTGTCCCAGAATCCACTGAAATTGTTCAAAGTAACCAATTCTAGGACTGCATGCCCTGCTTTTCTCTTTCCTTCTGCAGATAACCATAAGAAAGTCTGTGTCCACCTTTCTCCTATACTCCCACTGCTTCCTGACAAATCAGGTGTTTCCCTGTGAAGCCCTACATTTGGTGTGGCATGCCCTCTCCTCTTAGGAACCATGAGAAGCAAGCCATCTTTTTAATGGCAACTGTCTCCCAATCTGTTGATCTCATCATATCTAAATAATAATAGAATGTACATTTTAAAACAGCGACAAGGGATGGGCTGAAGCTCATGGGCAAAGACCTAGGCTCATCCCCCAACAGCACACAGAACAAACATAAAACAGTGACACAAATTTCACTGGTCTTTATGAAAAGGAAAACATCAAATCTGTGTTTGAAACTTGTGTGTATTACTTAGGTATAAAGGAATAAAGTCAGAATAGCTTAAAAAAGGAAAATAAAAGATTGTCTTAAAAACATGAAAAAAAAATGAATAGTTTACCAGAAGCAGAAGGAATTGGGAAGAATTTTGGGCAGAGGAAACTCAAGTGTAACTAATGGGTGAAAAACAGTATGGTGTTATTTAGAAAGACAATTTTAACATTATCCACTCCATTATTGTTTTATGTCCCTTTCAGGCTGGGAAGTAGTTTTCTGTTACTTTCTGAGCTTCCTTACAAGACAGTGGCTTACCCAGGGCTGGAACTGTGTTTCACTCATTTTCTTATCACCATTGCTTAGTATAGTTTTGAAAAATAAAGTTTCAGCAATTGAATATATGGATGAATGAGAGAGTGAATGAGTGAGCTGAAGCCACTCAAGAGTGGCATGTGTGTGGTGGAGGTTGGCAAAAAATAAGGAAGTAGAAATTGGTTATGTTATACCATTTCATCCCATAAATAAGAACAGAAACATCCTCACAATTAGAGCATATCAATGTATTTTAAGCATTGATATTATTGATATTGTCATTCTAAAAATAGGTCATTTCCTTCTAGCAACACTGAGTTTTGCTGTAGGCTAAAATTAATAGCAGATTAGAAGCACACTGATTGATAGCTGCTAAGAAGTAACTGCTGACAGCTGAGGAGGAGCAACAGAGCATTGCCCAGAAAAGTCTAGCGATTCAGTGTTATGCAGGATTATTATTAAAATCCTTCAAAGCATGAATATTCATAGTTATGATCCTTAGTAAGAAAATGTCTAATTTTTTTCTGTTTAGTAAGGAGATGTGTTCAATCAGAAGTAAACAAAATATCTACCTTATTTTTAAAATTACATATGAAATGCTTTTCATTTTCTCAAAATTCTGCTCAAAAGTTGGTACACACTGTCACAGCTTCCTCTTTCTCCATGTTTTACCCCATATGCTACTTAACTCTCGCTACAAAGTTACTAGGACCCCCTATCACAGTTTCCATTTAAGAATACCTTTGATTCCTAATTACAGATAGTCCTTTTGTTGCATGGGACTGAGATGATGATGCTATGCTCCTCCTCTACACTGTTTTCCTCTTTGGCTTCCTTGACTACTACCAGGCCCCCTTTGGTTATTTTTGGTCTGACATAGGCTTCTCTTTGTCTACCTACTCCCTAACAATGAGCGTCTTCCTCAGCCTTCTTCTCTTTTCACTTTCCATTATACCCTTGTGTAATCTTAACTACTCCTACAATTTCCACTCCATATTGAAGAGGTTTAAATCATTATACAACTTCAATCTCTCTACCCAGATCAATATGTTCAAAATAGAACCCACCAATCCTTATCTCTACCTCTCCAAATTGCTACTTTTTGTTTTCTGTCTCAGAAAATCACATCAAAACAAGTTGGCAAAGCCAGAACCATGGAAGACATTCTTGGTTCCTTCTAATTTAGAGCCCACATTCAATTAATTGTCATGATCTACCTTTCTATCTTCTTAATGTCTCCACCCTCTTGTTATACCTTAATTTAAACTTTCATAACTTACTTCTGGCTTATTGGAATAGCCTTCTAAAAGAGTCTCTGGAACACCTGCAAAAATCCTGCCCAACATAGCCAGCAAGATGTGTGTGGCCTCTGGGCCTAGGAAAAAAGCCCCTGGCTGCTTCTCTTTTCTTTTTCCTTTTTCTTTTCTTTCTTCTCCCAACAAGCAGAAGACAGAACATCAATCATAATCAAATCTTGTGACATCCTGGACCCCTACCCCGCGGAAAGCCTCCCTACACAGTGCCCACTGAAAACAATGGCACCATGTCTCCCCAACAGCTGGCTCCAAAGCTGCCTGTGTGAAACTTTAGAAGATACAGGTGAGCACCATGCATCATGCGTGGTTCCCCTACCCATCTGCCCACCCTGGAAAATAATCCAGCATGGCCCCTGGGCAGACTGACAACACCTAGAGGAGCTGCTGGCACCCAGCAGAGATTGGGAGAGGCATAAAGGCCTAAGAGAGGGAGCAGAGCAACAAACTAACCTCCCAAAGCAGAGCAGAAGGTGGATCACAGAGAGCTCTGGCACAGAGGGCAGCATTCAAAACTGAATTGCCCTACCTTGCTAGGGGAGGAGCTGACCAAACGGAGCTGCAGCTGAAGAACAACACAGCTGCCGCCTGCTCAAAACAGCTCTGATCACCCTCCATGAGCTGGCAATCTTACCTCACCTCGGAATTCCAACTAACCTTGTGGACAGAAGGTCCAAATACCACTCACAAGCCAGTCACCTGGTGAGACCGCATCAGAGCTTCCACTTGAACACCAATACCAGGATTGGACACCTAAGAAATAACTCCAGAACTTTTATTAATAGACTGAACTACTGAACCAGGTTCCTGAACCTGTTTTTTTTTAATTCTGTTTCTTTCTTTCTTTTTCTTTTTTTATTCCTGTATTATTGACTCCATCATCACAATTCTCTTATCCCTGTTCCCATTCTCTTCACTCTCCCTCCTTCTCCTGTGCTACAATCCATTGTTTTCCCTCTCAACTACTCTTTCTGCCTCTTCTCTTTCACTCTTTCCCATCCTCACCTCCCCCTATTCTCCCCAAACCTGCCACCACACTACCCCTCCCTCTTGCACACTCACCACCTGCTGACTAGCCTACTCTACCAACTGCACACAACCC